TTGGGAGTTGAACCCCCAAAACCTTAGACTGGTTTGGGCGTTGACTCCCAAAAAGAAATATTAAAAAAAACCCATCCCCCGGTCGGTTAAGGAGTTGATCCTCCAAAACAGACCAGGGTTTGGGGGTCGATGAAGCAAAAGACCCACCAAAGCGGCCGGGAGGAATCTTCCCGGCCGCTGTGGTAAATAATACTGTGTTTCTACGCAGAAAATATAAAAATTCTTATTATCTATTTATATATTATATATATAGTAAAAATAACATCAGAAATGGATTTCTCAGGTAAAATTACCCCTAGTCACCCACTACAACTGACCCCATATCTCTCATAGTTTGGAAGTTACACAGATTTCAACCTGTCACGGGATATCTTTTGGATTCTTTACTCTCAGTATGGCTTGTTTTGAATACTGGATGCATATTGAATATTGAATTCCTTTGTGGTGTATTGAATTCCTTTATTGGCACATAGTGCGTATTGAATTCCTTTGTAGGTGCACACGAATTCCTTTGTAGTAGGACCTTGTAGGCTAGCCAAATTCCCTCAAGGCAGTGCTCTCACCAGCCAAATTCCCTCACCTGCATGTACTAGACTAGTTAAAATCCCTCATTGGATCTTCAGGCCAGCTAAAATGACTCAAAAGCCTGTACCCTGGGGCTAAAATCCCTCACATTTGTCTATATAAGGAGGCCTCTGCCTGCCAGTTGTTCCCTCCATCATCCCACCAGTGGACCAGATCATCTCAACCACCCTTACATATTATATACAAGTGACAGCCGTAACAATACAGTATATTGAAATACAACCATAACAGTTTCATCATCATAACAAGTGCCAAGTGCCCATAACCTGCCTCACATACCATTACTGGTTGAAGCATAGCGCTCCCAGAGCTCCAAGCCTTGGTATTAAAGCTTTGAACAACAGCTTCATCAATATAATCATCACTCATTTATAACTTCAGACCCTTATAAACATCACTCGGAAGCTTCATCTTGAACTATCCTCTATCACAATAAATACAACTGCCAAGCTAAGCTTGGTGGTCTTGTTGTTCTGATAGCTTAGAAGGATAGAGATTGCCACTTCCTCATCCCCCTCCTCACTTAGCAAAAGTGATTCATAACCACCTTTGAGTGGTACCCCGCTCGTAGGTCACTCCCGACGGACGAGGGAAAACACCTCGACCTCTAGTTTTCCTTTGCCCTCTCCCGCTGAGTATACACTCTCGATGACCGAGAGTGTTCCTCTCACTCATTGAGGGTATACAGCTCGATGGCTGAGAGGATTCCTCTCGGCCGTCAAGGGTGGAATTGCACTCTTAACGGTCGAAGGAATCCACCTCGGCCTGTCTGTCGAGGTACGCTTTCAGTGTACACTCTTGAAGGCCGAGAGGGAGCAACACTCTTGGCCATTGAGAAGCGCACTCAGAGACCGAGGAGGATTCCCTCGGCCGTTGAGAGTGTAATTCTAACCTCGATGGCCGAGAGGAATCCTCTCGGCCATCGAGGTGTATACCCTCAACGGTGTGGTAAATAATACTGTGTTTCTACGCAGAAAATATAAAGATTTCTTGTTATCTCTTTATTCATTCAAGATATGAGAAAAATGACATCAAAAATGGAATCCTCAGGTAAAATAACCCCTAGTCACTCACTACAACCATACCTTTATCTCTTATAGTTTAGAAGTTACACATATTTCAACCTGTCACGGGATATTTCTTGGATTCTGCACTCTAGCCATAGTCATTATGAGTACAGGATGCATATTGCATACTGAATTCCTTTGTAGTAAATTGAATACCTTTACGTTATTTTGAATCCCTTTGTATTAGTGATATTGCATGTATGCATCCCTTTGATCATACATATGCGTCCCTTTATTCATTCATATGCATCCCTTTGTAGTAGTATGTCACAGCCTGTACCCTGGGGCCAAAATCCCTCACATTTGTCTTTATAAGGAGGCCTCTGCCTGCCAGTTGTTCCCTCCATCATCCCACCAGTGGATCAGATCATCTCAACCACCCTTATAAATAAATCCATCTTATATATTATTTCATAACTACAAGTCATAGCCACATTACAATTACAGATTTATACACATTGAAATACAGATTTAACACTTTCATCATCATCATAAACAAAAAGTGTCCTGAACCATATTCATCAACAACAACTTCATCAATATAACCAACTGTCAATAACATCTTTATACCCTCACACATGTCAATCAGCAGCTTCATCTCGAACTTATCCCTATCACTATATATAAAATTGCCAAGCTAAGCTTGGTGGTCTTGTTATTCTGATAGTATAGAAGGGCAGAGCTTGCAACAACAACATACCCTTCTCCATTCAGCAAAAGGGTTTTCATAACCACTTTTGAGTCTTACAACGGCCGAGAGGAATCCTCTCGGCCATCGAGGTGTATACCCTCGATGGCTGAGAGGTACACCCTCGGCCATCGAGAGTGTACTCTCAGCGGCCGAGGTGTTTTGCCTCGGCCATCGGGAGTGTACTCCCAGCGGCCGGGAAGATTCCTCCCAGCCGCTTTGGTGGGTCTTTTGCTTCGTCGACCCCCAAACCCTGGTCGGTTTTGGAGGATCGACTCCTAAACCAACCGGGGGATGGTTTTTTTTTAAATATTTTTTTTGGGAGTCGACTCCCAAACCAGTCTAAGGTTTTGGGGGTTTGACTCCCAAAATTCAGGGATTCCGGGGCTTGGGAGTCGGCTCTCCACTTTTTGGGAGTCGTTTAACCAAGCCCCATTACTTATATATGAAACATGTATGTATTTAATAGATAAGTAATTAATCAGATAAGATAAATATAAGATAAATAAGATAAGTCAATAGTAATGATAAGACAACAAGAGGTAAAGGTAAACAACATTATGGATAGGTACTTATGAGCATAAGTACAGGTGTTGTAGTTACTTGGTACATGAAAGGTACTGTGACATGTACTCTGTGGCTGACACTTCCCAACATGTCCGCAGCACCACAGCAGGATGGGAATGAATCCCCAAGTCTGCAAGCTGTAAGTTCAACACAAGCTAGCATACCCTAACCTTCTAAAAAGGTCTCTTTAACATTTTCCTTTTTTTTGTCTTCCTGAGTTCTGTCCTTATTGCTGAAGGTCTTGTAAATGGTTGTGGAAGTGTTTTTGTGTGCACATAGATGTATGTATGGCAGGTGATATACAGATCATTACTAAACTTTCATCAACAACAGACAATGTAAGAATGAAAAACAATGTTCAACTTGTTTGTATGTATTATAACGTTCTGTCCACCCAAAAAGAAAAAGTAAGAAAAAGGAAAGAAAAAAAAAGCCAGTGTATGTAAGTGAGTTTAAGTGAGTATTAGCAATCAATCAATCATTTTTATTTTAAAGACAAAATCATCTTCAGTGTTGGGGGCCAATTCTCTGGTTTGGGTTGGTGTTTGGGAAGAGGGAGTATGGAGGATCGAGGATGTTTTGTGTGTTTGCATGTATATATAAATGTGTGTGTGTGTGTGTAGGAGTTGCTTGAGAGGAGGAAAGCGGGCCGGTTACATGGTATTTGCGGCAGCGTATCTGATCGGTGGCATGAATCGGGGATGGTGAGCTGGTAACATGTATAGTTTCAAGTACACTCTCATCGCTGAAATCACATCACTTGCTGCGTCTATGATTTTTTTGGGGGGGTTAACCAATAAAAAGAAACAAGGTAACTACATAAGCATAATCTTTTTGTTTTTTGACGTATAAAAAGAAAAAAAGAAGAGAGAGAAGACTGACAGTTTAACTGAGTAGGGGAAAGATAAAAAGATTCCCAATTAGAAGTGACGACGCTCTTAGTTTTCGGGAGGAATTGTTCGAGATATCTAGCGACGAAGCGTTGGAGGGAGAAGGCTTCGGTAGGGATATCGTCTCTGGCGGTGGGATCGATGAGCTTAGCGACGTCGATGAGTTCGAGGAAGGCGTTAAGATAGACCTTGGAGCCGGTGGGATCCGTGAATTGATCGCGGGCGAGTTTATCGGCGTCGCCGGAGATGCCGACGCCGAACTTGACGATGAACGGGTCCCTGAGGAACTCGGCTATGGGAGTGGGGAGGACGTGGAGGAACCATTTGGGGCGTTGGATGTGGACGAGCTGGATGACCAGGGTGATCGTCTGTCCGCAGATCTGGATCAAGGACGTCGGCCTGGGCTTGCGTGCGCGATGGTCGGTGACCCATTCCATGTCAAATGAGACTAGTCTTAAGGGTGGTCGACAGGCCGTGATGATGAGACTATCTTGTAAGACATTCTCGATCATCGTCCGAAGCGTCTCGTCTGAGGAGTCCTCGCCAAATGGAAACACGTAGACTGATTGCGGTCGGTAGGCTCGGTCGTGTATTTCAAATCTCGTCACCTCTATCTCTTGTCCATCTTGGATGTTACTGTTTGGGTCCATGCTTGAATGCCGCAACGCGGTTCTGGATCGAAGTTCTTGAAGAACTCTCTCATCTGAAATTCAAGAAAATCAATTCAAAGTTTTTGAATTAGCCTTCATGCTCGCTCTGATATGAGTTTGTTTATGAATGAGGTTTGATAGGTTGAACTGACTGGCTGAAGGACGAGGTCGTTTAGGTTGATTGTTATTGTTATTGTTATTGTTATTGTTGTTATGATTATTATGACTGATGGGTTGGTAGGTAAATGGTGTTGATGAGGTAGATTGGGCAGGCTGAGTATTGGTCTGTCGTCGGTTATGTCTGGCCATCGTTGTTCTTGGTATTTAATCAGTGGTTAGTTGCGAAAGAAGAAGGAGAAGTGTCCCGATGGAAAGAGGAAAGATTGAAATACCCTGGCTGGTGGGCAGTGAACCCTGAATGGAAACAAAGCCCCATTGAAAAAATACATAATCTACCCTGGCGGTGCTCATCAAACCCCCGTTGCATCCCCCAGCCCATCGGCTTGCTTTTCACTCCGAATTTGCCCACCGATTCCGAACCACCGAATCAACCCGATCATGCAGGTGACCTGAGGCCCCGCAGAAGGCTGCTCCTTCCCATTTTTTTTTTCTTCATCATCTTCCGAGTTCTTTTCTTTCTTTCCCTTTTCAGTTTATTTGTTTACTTCTATGCAGAATATACTCTATCTGATGAGGGCTGTATTTAGTGAAACAGGGTCAACAGCTTCAACCCTTGAAGAAACTATACATACCCTTCCGTGTTCCTGTGTACATAGCCGTTTTAGCGGCAATCATCAGATAGGACAAAGCTTGATATGTAATGCCTCACCCTATCCACCATTTCTCTAATAAGACTTATTGTTTCCCTCCATGTTTTGATATCACCTCCCACATTTTCTTTCCTTCTTTTCCATAACACACACGCACTCTCTTTGTTCATTAATGTTGTTTTTTGATTCAATTTTAGTTCTTAAAATCGAATGATCAACTAAAAAATTTACACAGATCTACCACTCAATTCAAAATGACAGACATTGATTCTTTATGTAATCTACATAAGATTAAACTCTGGCATGTAAAACCAACAAGACTAGTAGTATCAAAAGCAGATTCAAAGAAGCCTACCACCCAGAGATCCCAACAAAAAAGACAAATGAAGGGCTGTTTAGAACCAGAAGTTTGTGAAAAGATGGCAAGAATCAATCATATGAAAAACAGCAAAACAATCAATTTTGTCAGGAAGTTTTGATATTTTTCAAAACTGAAATATAAAAACTAGTTTAGCAGGATAGACCAGCAGCAAAATAAAAAAAAAAACAATCACTAGATAAGAGTTGGCCTTGTGTAATATTGATTAATAGTACTCCACTGTGCCAGCTCTTGTGCTATTACAACCCAACTGCAATTATTTTTGACAGGTTTTTACAAAAAAAACTGGATGTGATATGTTTGGATAATCGTCCTCACTTTTTTTATTCAAATTAGAGTACTGATCAGTGAATCAAAAGATTACTTCCTGTAGTCCAGAGCAGTACTTTTGTGCCCTTGATTGTAGCAGGGATGTTTTGCTCTGCATGGGACCAATTTAAACCCAGCATGTGTTCTGCAACATGTTAGCCCGGTTCACAATAGCCAGTTCCAATTGCTGATTACCTTGTTAAAAGTTGCTGATAGCATTTTTTGTTTGGATGGATCTGGAATATGTAATCTGGGGGACTTTGGACCAAACATTCAAAAATGGATGTGTTTTTAAGTATCAATGATTGGCTGATTACAGCTAAACTTTTTGCTGGTGACTGGCTATTGTGAATGGGCCATCATAGGAATGATGCACGGAAGCCACAAAAAGCATACCAATCATATGCCCCCCATTCTCATTTAGACATACTGCCTTACTTGGTTAAATAGGCCATATGTGGGGAGGGGGGGGGGGGAGTAAATTCAGTTTGGAAATCCCACCATTACCCCATGCTGGTGATGCTTATAGCGGTTAGTCAATCTTACAGATAATCTGTATTTTATGAGACTTATAATCCAGTTTCAAAGATAAAAGAATGGTTTTTTGGGGGGGATGGTTATCAAGTATGTAGGGCTACATTGGAGGAGAGGGCCACTATGATTAAAAATATGGGCAGTCGGGATCACACGTTCATAGCTCCTGTTTTTCTTGCTGAGCTGAAATTGTTTGATGGGAATTGCCCACAGTCTGGTCTGCAGATTGAAAGTCACTTTGTTAGGCTCTTGTGGTATGAGCAGTAGGGATTAACAAAGGGTGAATGCACTGTTTTGGGATGAGTATGCTTTTGAGAGGGATGTGGGAGATCGGATGGGTCTCTTGTGTTCCTTGATGACCATCAACCAGAAGAGCACGAGCTGAATGAGACTGAACCCACTCAGGAACTACTTCGACCAGCAAGGACTATCGAGATTGATGGGATGTCTGAAACGAAGAACAACAAGCACAACTGACCACAACCAACCGAACCAGAAGAGGTTACTAGTATCCAGGATGACGATGAGGATCAAGAAAGACCAGGAGATCGAGCTCAACAGGGCCGAGTCAAAACTATGCCAACTCCTCAATCAATCCGTCTCTCATCTCAAAGCATCAGCATCATCCACCAATCAGGACTTGAACTCACTCACTCTGAGAATCGCTGGTGGCTGGGTCAGAGATAAGGTCAGGGTTTCGATCGGCGAAAGATGCTGTATAAATCATCGACAAACAGGAAGCTAATACTGGCTTGTGTATAATGTAGTTACTTGGGGTCCAATCTAACGATCTAGACATAGCCATCTCATCCTTAACGGGGCAAGACTTCGCCACCCGATTCTCGAGCTATCTGCGAGACCAACAACGACTGAAGAGAGAGGGACAGAGCGAGAATCAGACCACGAAAGAAGCAGGAGATGGAGGAGAAGAGACGTTTGAGTTGGGCAAGATCGCAACTATCGAGGCCAGGCCCGATCAAAGCAAACATCTTGAAACTGCCACCACTACTTTCCTCGGCTTGGATCTCGACTTCGTCCAACTCAGAAGCGAGGAATACGGCGATCAGGATAGTCGCATCCCAAGCTCAGTCGTTAGTCTTTTATCTACTCCTCATTTTTTTTATCTTTACCCAGGCTTGATGAGAAGAAAGGCTGATCACTTGTTTGAGTTGCCAACGTCCTCTTTTTGCTGGGACTGAAAAAAACACACACAGAGATTTGGGACGCCTTTAGAAGATGCATTGCGACGAGACATCACGATCAATTCCTTATTCTACAACGTACATACAGGAGCCATAGAAGACCACACTGGAAAAGTAAGACAAAGCAAACTTTTTGAATTGATCCAAAACCAAACACCTTGCCAGTTAAATACACATCCTCATGTAATTTGTATTAATTTATAATTGTAGGGTCTAGAAGATCTTGAAGTGGGATTAATCCGGACCCCGCTTCCAGCCGAACATACTTTCAAGGACGACCCTCTTCGTCTCTTGAGGTGCATCAGATTCGCGACTCGCTTCGGCTTTCGATTGGATGCAGATATCGTTTCTGCTGCCACATCTGAACCCATCAGAGTAAGACTCCCTTCTGCTTGAAAAAAAAACTCGCTTTATATTATCGGGCTTGATTGTTGAAATTCCATCTTTCAAAAAAATAGGTTGCATTGAAGGAGAAAATCAGTAGGGAAAGAGTAGGAACAGAGGTGGACAAGATGTTGAAAGGTGAGTATCGATTGAGTGATCGAACTGATGCAAAAATTCCATCGGGTGTTGAATTGGAATGTGAAAAAAAAACACAGGTCGGGATCCGTTATCTTCGCTGAAAATGATCGAAGAACTCGGCCTATACAAGCTAGTTTTCAGCCCTCCCAAGAGTCTAAAAGAGGAGACAATCGATCCATCAATAGCTGTCGAAACGGCAACCTGTCTAGCCGGGCTCCTTCACCTCACCAATGATTCCAATCTGTCATCGTCGACTCTGCCTCCCAACATCTCCAAACTGCTGCCTCGCTCAAACGCCCTCAAACGGCGGCTCTTCCTCGCTTCTGCTCTTTCACCCTATCGCGAGTTGAAAGCTAAGGCCGGCAAAAAGGAGCTCTGGGCCGGTGAGGTCGTCCTCATGGAGAGCCTCAAAGTGAGCACACGTTTCCTTGTATCCTTGTTCGATTACCCAATGGTTTACCTTTTTGACCCCTCCTTAAAAGGAATTCCTTTCTTTTCTTTTTTTCTCATCAAACAATCAAACATCAATTATCTAAAAAAACATTTGAATCGATGATTTAGTTAGGAAACCATGACAAGAGTTTTATTTCAAATTTGTACCGAAGTTTGGAAGTTCTGAATTCGAGTAATCTGGAGTCAATATTGAACACGACGACGACCAAAACGACGAGTAGTCCATCTATTCGAGTGGAATTAGGCCGACTTCTTCGATTGGCTTGTGTTCATGATCTCAAGCAATCCGAGGCTGAGGCCAGCTTGAATTGGCAATCTTCTCTGCTCTTCGCTTTGGTCATCGAACTCACTCGTTCCCAATCCCGTATGTCCTCCATTTCCTTCCTCCCTTCTTCTTTCCCTTTCTAAATTCAACACATCAACTTATGTTTCACTCGCTTTGTTCTTTTTTGATATATATGTAGAGTCTTCGTCTGAGCTTCGAAATTCAATCATCAACACTTTCGATCTTCTCGTTCAGAAAATTCTCGACTTGGATTTGACTTTCGTTGTCACACCTGAATTCGAGAAAAGAAGATTAGATGTAAGTGTTTTTTTTTCTCATCACGGTCAAAATTCATGAAGGTTAACATAACTGGAAACGTAAAACAAACAAACTGATAATAATCTAAATGTGATCTATAAAAACACCAATAAAATGATGACTAATAATAATACAGGGAAAAGAGATATGTGAAGTGTTGAAGACGAAGCCAGGAAAGCATCTAGGCCAGATCATTGAGAGAGTGATCGATCGACAGATCGAGTATCCCGATCAAACGAAAGAAGAAGGCTCGCAGTGGTTGGAAGATCAGCTCCGAGCCGGCCTCATCAAGATCTCTTGAGACCATCTACCAATCGGCCCATATACCCCTCCTTCTCCTTGTCACAAGTTCATGTCTGTCCTTGAGGAGGAAAGTGAAAAAAAAAAAAGGGGGGGAAGCGCTACCTTCGTCCATTTGGGAAGATAAATTGGGTTCCTCTATCTTCTCCAATACTCGATTGAAACCCCCTTTTTTCTTTTTCTTTTTCTTATGAAATCCGCAACAAACATGACATAGCAGAGACAGTCAGGACGGAACGCAACAGAGTCTAACGACATCTTCGTCGTCCCTATCTCATCCTCGATATTCTTTTACCTTCAGTGAACCGTGATTGCATCCATTCTACATCCCCCTCTCACCGCCACCATCCTCTCAAAAGAAGCGCTTGAGAAATCCATGCACACATGCAGATTTTGGACACAAGGCTGGAAGGTATCATTATGTTTCAATGAAATCTTGCGGCATATCCCTTTTTTTTTCTAATTGGTCTTGACTGTCTACAAACAACATACTTGAATTACCATTGTTGTACAGGTTTTGGACCAGTTGTTGACGATGATGATGAACACCAGATTTGTGCACATTGTACTTGGGTGGAAGCTGAGGATATTATAGGTTGGAGGAAGGAGTGAAGTTGCAGTAGTGGTGCTTTGGTGGATGGCATCAAATTCCAACATCAGATGGACTGCTCATGTTATGAAGACTTTCTCTTTACAAATCCTCCAATGAACACATAATACCTTGTGTGTCTGTGTGCTGGCTTTTGGATTGCAAGATCAGTTGATACGACATAAAATCATACATGTGTGCATGATGCTTGTTTGTCAACATTTGAGACTTCACTCCTCTCGACATATAGCACAACAATTTAAGGTCTTGGTTGATCATCAACTCCCAAAAATTAGAGTTGTTTAGATTTGGTATCTTTCTTCTCATCTCTAAAAATCCAATTTTTTTCAATTTATAATGTTTAGATAAATTGAATACATATGGTTGTACTATGCTTGCTAGTGTCTGAGTGGTATTTTGTCTTGTTGTCAAGTGCTGAAAACCTTGTAGTCTTCAAATCTTAAATCTTTATCAACAGTCATTTACTCCTGTCACCTCTTCAAACATATGTTAATTCCTGCTATTCATTTAAATACTCAATTTTTCTCAAACCACAGATTGAACTTATTGTATGTAGTCTATTTAATAGGGGGTTTCAAAGTTGGCATGTCGCGCATGCAAGTTGACATAGCAAGTTGAATTTTGCGGGGCGACTTGCCTGACTTTATGCAAGCTGCTCTGGCCAAAAATCCATGCATGACGGCTTGACACTGCAAGCCAAGTTGAATCTACCTACCTTGACAGGCCTTGATCCACTTCCAACACGATCACTGCTCCCCTCCAAAATCAACATGGCAGCAACTCCCATCATCCCCGCGCGAAAAACTAAGAATGCAACCAAGAAGAAGGCAGTTCCATGGGATCGGGACGGTGTTGATGGTGGCAGCTGCAGCATGGATATCGTGCTAGAATGGCTGACATCCGACTCAAACTATCTACGATGGAGAGGTGATACCGAGGAAGGAAAGACTAAGAAGTCTTTGTGTGCTGAAATCATTGATATCATGGTTGAAAGTGGGATCAACCATCGTGATGCAAAGGGCAAGTGCTTAACCACAAAGATATGCTTCCTTTTTTTTTTTTCTTACTTTTATCGGTATGTTTTTGTAGGCATAACCCAGAAAATCAGTGATCTTCAATCCTCATACAACACTGCTCGCGACTGGAAGAGAAACACCGGAGCAGGAATCCTGGAAACAGATATGATCAACGGTATCAAGACTGTTGAAGGTATGTATGAAGCACTATGTTCTTTTTTTGAAGAAAAGCCAATTAGTTTCCTCTGTATCCTACAGATCAAGTCCACTCGATGTGTCGATATTGGGACATTCTGGATCCCATTATGGGATCAAGGTCTGTGGCCGAACCGCTTTTCACTCGATCATCTGTTTTGGCCGATCAAGAGCGTCAGACAAATGATACAGCAAGTACCATCGATGGAGTGAATCACTCAAATCTTCCTAGCAGTGGCAGAGACCCCCCTCCATCCGATGAAGAACCCAGGGAAATTTCTATTACACACACTCCAACTCCTGCTACTACAACAACCACCTCAACCATGATGCACCAAACACAAAAGAAAAAGAAAAAGAAGACAAAGAAATCAGCAACATCTTCAAGCAAGAGAAGCCAAAATAGGAGGACGAAAGCGAACCCCGAGGATTTCTACATGAAATCGGTGATAACAAAGAGGCAGGCAGAAATGACTAAGGCTCGAGCATCAGCAACCAAAGCCAAAGTTAGCTACATGCGAGAGTTGAGAGAGCTTGGTCTTGAATATGATGAGATCAAAAAACTTGTTGATGAAGAGTTCCCCAAAATACCCGACATGCTTGCTGATTCCGAAGAAGAGGAATCAGACTCTGATGAAGATAGCTCCTAATTTCTTTTATACTTATAAATGGTGTAGAAAGAATTTTTTTCCAAATTCCAATCACAATTTGTTTCTGCTTTGCTCATGGATAACATTTGGTATACTTGCATACATAGTTGAAATCAAAACAGTTGCAGATACATTCCATGATTTGTTTGAATAAAAGATAAAAAACAGTCTAGAGAAAAAAATAAGTCAAGCACAAGACAGAGTTGAAGAACTAAGATACACCTAGGTAGTCCAAGACACCTTGATAAACTTGCTCTCGGAGTTGATTGCCAGGGCTATTAGCACCTCGTCGTGGTAGAATGTCATCATCAATGGCAGCAGTTGGGTCGATCAAATCATGATCGATAGCTGGAGATTCATCACTCAGTAGGAAATTGTGTAGGACCACACAGGCACTCACCCACTGTGTAATCCTCTTCATTGTTTCCACAGAGGTGAGTTCCATTCGAATGCCTCGCAGGCTTTGGAATCGTCCCTTGAGGATTCCTATGCAATGCTCGTTGCATACTTGTAGGGAGGCCAGATGTTGATTAAATTTTTTCTTCAATCGGGGCATCGGTCCATGTGGTGGTTTCTTGAAAGCTGGAACAAGGTTAGACTCGGCCGGAAATCCAGAGTCACCTATAAGATACTGCCCAGGTGAAAAGAAACGGGCTTTTTGTTGATTGAGGTCGCAATTCTCCCAGAGTCGGGTGTCATGGCTGCATCCTGGCCATCCAGTCAGGTAGTAGATGATTCTTTTTTCAGCATCACAAACAACTAGTGTTGCCAAGCCATACGATCCTTTTCAAGAGTAGTAATCTTGAGGATCAATCGAGGGCTTTTCATCTAATGGAAGCAAAGTTCCATCGATAAATCCAACACACCGTTCAAATCCGGTTGAATTGGCAATATCGGAAGCAATCGCTTCTCGACCTTCATGGTTGGGCCAAACAACATAGGTACTGGTTTTCAGCCAAGGATATATAGATAAGCCTAATGAAGAATCTTGAAGAGTCTGGAGTAGTTGACAAAGAAAAACTCACCTTTCTAGTGCTAAAATGGCTTCAACCACACGTGAGCAGTATAAGATCACACTGCCCTCAGAAATCCTAAAAAAACAAGCAAGGATCCCGATAGATGAACCGTTTCCTGACATCCCCATTTGCCGTAACGTCACCATGAGCTGATCTCGGACAGGTCGCTGGGGCACATTCGAGTTGTTATGAAAGACTGAGTTGTTTTTAATCAAAGAAAGTAGTTGATGGAAGGATTTTTGAGACATCCGGAATTCCTGCTTGAACCGGCCGGTATCAAGACGAAAGAGATATTCAGTTATGTCTGGGGCTCGTTCGAGTCGGACCCTTTCAGCTAGATATCGCCTCTTCTTGATTGAGATAATTGCCATGACTAGCCCCTCAATTTCGCTATCTTCACTTGCAGATGACTCGTCGTCGGTATCTTTGTATCTGGCCTCAAAGGCAGCTTGTGTAACGTGAAGACAAAGAGACCTCCTCATATTTCGAATGCTTTCAGCTCGCTGGGATGATCGAGGCATTCTGATAAGGTGGAAAGAACAATGAATGTCGTTGGGTGAGCCGTGACGGTGTGAGACGATGACGGGATACGGGATAGGTTGCCGGCTGGGGTGTGGGTTGAGGTTTTGGGGTGCTCAAAGTTTTTTTTTTTTTTGCGGGGAGCAAGTCGTCATGCAACACAGCTTGCATGCGGGCAAAGTTTTACTTTGAGTCCCGCTACATAGGCTCTACTAGTAAATAAAAATCATTGGTCCTCTCAATTGTATTCCCAATGCCACCTTTAAGTTGCCAAAAAGTTGTGCCATGACAAGTCAATTCAAATAATATCTCTCCCTCTCATCTATCTCCAACCTCAGGATTTCTTCATGATTAATAGCTGAAAGACTTGTTAATACAATACCCCTCTTGCTCAGAACTCCACAACAGTATCACCATGTCTGTCCTCTGGAGTTGTCCAAGAAACCAAAGCTCTCTTGACTGCACATGACTACACCTGCTGGCTATCACTGCAATGGAAGCAAGACTCTTCAAGATGAAACTCCTCGACATCATTGAAAGTCAAGCTGAAGTTGATGAAAAAGAAGAAGCATGTAAAAAACTTAAACGTGTATCAATGCTGGGCCAGCTACGCTAACCGTAGCATTAGCGTGGCGTAGCGCAGCGGAAATGCGCTACTTTGTAGCGTAGCGTCAGCGGAAAATCCACCTTTCTTTGCTAACACTACGCGCAAAGGGCACAAAAGTGCGTTAGCGCAGAAAGTCGGAATTGCGCTAACGCTACGCGCTCAGGGCACAAAAAAGTGCCCGCTACGCCGCGCTACAGGGCTTTTTAGCGGGTTTTTTGCCTTTTTTGCCGCTAAAAGCGCTGTAGCGCAGCGTAACGCAGCGTAGCGGCTGTAGCGATGCGCTAACACTACCCAAAAACATGCCGCCTGTTAGCAGGGCTACAGCGTAGCGTAGCATAGCGGCGGTAGTGGCACGCTAACACTACAGAAAAAAGGGCCTGTTTTTGTGCCGCTACGCTAACGCTAAGTGGCCCTTTAGCGTAGCGGCCCAGCGTTGCGTGTATTCCATAATCATCTTGTACATTGGTCAGGAAGTACTTGTGCATCTCTTTTTGGATCAAGAATGTCATCCATGCTGAACAAAAAAAGGACAGGGCCAAAGTAAGCCTTGGTTGGGGTATAGAGATAGGACATAGACTCACTGGTTATTGCCTATGCACACAGAAGATGAACAACTTATCTGATTTGTTTGTTTTTCAAAATATTTCCAGATGCAAAACTGTTGAGCCCAGTGGTCATATCAGGGGGTATCAAATATCATAAAGCTACCATTAAAAACCAACCCCTTTTTCCAAAAATAAAATTTTGCATTGATGGGCCCCCAAAGGGGTTAAACAAAGAACCAACATGTTTAAAAAAATGGTGGATTTTTTCAAACCAGTCTATTAAATGGTGGTGTATTTGTTTAAATTTGATACCCCCTAATATCTTCCAATAGAGAATGGGTTGTAGACTCATAAACCATTTAGTTTTGAGTAAGATCCACACGTTGCTGGCATAGTGGTATCCTATCCCTATTGCAAGAGCCCAACGTGCTTTTTCCTGTCCTCTGATACACCAATATTCTAGAGTTCAAGTCCTGTTCCAAGCCACTGAAAATCGGTGCAATTTCAAATATGCATAAAAACACTATAATTTTCCTTATGTGTCTCTTGTTTACCCTGTGCCAGACAAACAACAGGTGGAGAAGGTGTGCAAAATGTGCAATCAATTCCCTATTGATAGAAGGAAGGCCAATGGGTAATACAATTAAGAAACTTGCCCCAACAAGAATAACTGATAGAAAAACTTGTGGATATATGAAGCATGAAACAGTCAGCTGCTGTCATGAGTACCCAGTGGAGTTATTTGAATGTGAAATCTGCAATATCAATGCCTGGGTCATCACAACCAGAGAATGTTGCCCCACACACCCCCAACCTCTAGAAAGGTATTTTGATTAGAGATGGGCGGGGATAATCCGCCGCGGATATCCGCTATCCCCTGGCGGATACCCGCTAGGGCCAGCGGATTCCCGCCAGCGGGTGCGGATTCGGCTGCGGATGGCCGTTTTTCCGCCCAGACTGGCGGATATTCGGGTATCCAAGGGATACCCGGTGTCAAGAGAGGCCATCTCGCCGGGAGGAATCCCTCCCGACGAGCTGGTGTACATACCA